GATCCCCGCCCCCATCCGTGGAAAAATTGTCTTCCACGAAACCCGTCCCGGTGCCAAAAAGTTTGGGGACCGCTGCTTTAAAGAATAGGTTCAGAGTGATAAGCAATTGCAGAGAAGATGGATTCTAGCCCTCCAGGGTATATACAACTCTTCTCTATAACATTATTCATAATTGTTCAGGGTACTCTTTCACAATATTTGTTTTGTATATTTCTTGCACATTGTTGCTTTTGTGACAACAATCTCTAAATAATAGAACATTTATGAAAAACAAAGAGACAAGGAGATGTGCTCCTCTGAGAGGAGACTTCCAGAAGAAGGAAATGATACTGCAGGAAGCATAATACCTGCTCATTTTCAGGTTTGTCGAAACGGATGAAAGGTGAATGGTGATTCGCTTGAACTGCTGTTTGTATTTTTCTCAGATCATTCTTAGGAGGTGGGTGATGCCCAATGAGAGTAAGTGGATCGGTCTCTTTCATGGAGGTTATTAAAATTAGTGCATACTTTGGATGCCTATGGTTTATTCTTCCCAGAAGCAAATTAAGGAATATTTATTAAAGAAGAAATAAACTTAGTCTTCTCTGAGGCCTCTTTATTCCTAAAGGTCCTCAAAGAAATGTCAGCTGCATCCTGTCCTTTTCTGCAATGACATTTCAAATGGAGAGAGTGCTGGCAAAAGGCTGATTTCCACTATTCCTTGTGAGTTGTCAGGGGAGAGTGGAGTTTGGACTTCGAAAGAAGTGATCAGGAATGTATATTCCTTTGTGTTTTTGAGTTTCTCCCTTATGTGTCTGTTTTCAAAATTGCAGCCCTTGGGTTTCTTTGAAAAGTCACTCATCCTATCTCACACACACACACACACATACACACACACACACACACACACACACACCATTCCTTTGACCTCTAAGAGATTTTATGAAAGATGAGTTGGGGCTGAGTTAAGGTCTCTGCCAACGAAGGCACAGAGAACATATCTGAAGGAGAACGTGTTTTATTTTTTATTTATTTTTTTTTTCCCTTGCGTTATGCGGGCCTCTCACTGTCGTGGCCTCTCCCATTTGCGGAGCACAGGCTCCGGACGCGCAGGCTCAGCGGCCATGGCTCACGGGCCCAGCCGCTCCGCGGCACGTGGGATCCTCCCGAAACGGGGCACGAACCCGCGTCTCCTGCATCGGCAGGCGGACTCTCAAGCACTGCGCCACCAGGGAAGCCCAGGAGAACGTGTTTTAAATCTGTTTCTTAGAGAGCCTCCAGCCACTGGCGCCACCCAGAAGTAGAGAGTCAGCCTGGAACAACAGCATTACTTGCAAAGGGTAACTGTTGGCCTAGGAAGGCTTTCAATCTCCTCCAGTGTCCAAATACTCCCCACGCCGCCAGCCCTAAAGCTGTGGAGCCCAATGAGCTCTGTTTCTTTGGCCTAACAAAAAATCAAATTTCCAGCAGAAACGAACACACCATCGTAAAGCAATTATACTCCAGTAAAGATGTTTTTAAAACAAGAAATAGATGATCTTTGTGGAACTATATTTATGGACAAGAATTTTGCCCCTTAAACAGAATAAAAATTAACTATCTAAAATTGGCAAAAAAAAAAAAATCAAATTTCCGAGTGAGGAAGGAGGAAACAGAACCTTTCCCAAACTTTCCATTCTCAGAATGTCCCGGCGAAAGGGAGAAAAAAATCGCTTCCCAGCGCAAAGGGCAGGCTGGGATTATAAAAGAGCAGTTTTATGACAGCGAAGTGCCAGG